ATATATATATATATATATACATATATGTATGTACACGTGTGTGCAAAACTCTCCTGGCGACGAGACGAGCGAAAGAATATGGATTATGTAAAGATATACGCGGCGTTGTAGCGACGATTGCTGGCACGTCGTGATCTTGTTGTACGACAAGTACCACCTAATTGATCCTATTACCCACTATATATCAATGTCTAATAAACTGCTGTTATCCCAAACTGTCGATACGATTTTCTATCTTCGTTCCATCTTCAACAGTTTATGTAACATAGATCTAACAATTCATAGATCTATGGATGCTTGTGAAAAGTCTTAATTTTAGAAACGCAAGTGGAGAAACAAGCAGTGAGCGTAGAAATTATATTAAAATAATTCAAACTCCATACTTTGATAAGCTTTCAAAAAGTATTATTATCGTTAAAAAATATGCAATTTATAATTCGATTTAATATATATAATCAGCAACTTTTGTTTGTATCGTAATTGTAATTTCAATTAAAAATTTAATTTTAATTTACTACAAAAGAATATTCTTCTTAGATGCACAACTGTGATATACAACTATACAAATATTTCGTATTTCGTTTGTAGTTTATCAATAATGTTCTCAACAAACCATTATATTTTATTGAAATCAGTGTGTTGCTTAAAGATTTTCATAGATATCGATCTATAAAGTATTATAATATAGACGATGACTTGGCAAACTGATTAAAAGCGGTCATACGATCATGAAGTAAACATATTTTCTAGCAAGTTTATAGCAAATTCATAAATGTGGAGATAAGCAAAGATTGAGTTTCTAGTAAGTTGAAAAAAGAGAGAAAACAAAGTGGAAAAACTTGAGAACCAGTTAGACGGAGTTCATACAGAAATGAATAAATTATCTTATGGTGGCCGGTCGACCTTGACAAGCCTCTACGCGATTATCATACATATGCGTTTTGAAATCACGACTTGGCTCAGTCGTTTAAAACAACCGTGATCATGAAGAGTTTCGTGGAGTATTCTCCAAACTGTGATTTTCCAATCGAAAATCTCCCTTATGGTGTCTTTTCTACAAAGAGCAACGTAAGTAATTCGTCATTGTATACCAAGTTCGATATAGATTACAATGATACCAAAGAGAAAAAGTTTATAGGTTATGCGAGAATATGGCAGAAAAATTTCTTATTGAAATTATCCATCACAATAATATACTTATTTGTACAAATAAGAATGATTCGTACAGTACTTACTGCTATTTAAAAGTAATTGTTTTGCCAATGCAAATAAAATATCATTGTCTCAATTAAGTGAAGTGCCATCTACATGTGCTTCGGATAATGTGAGAATCGAAGGCGCGTATTTTCAAATACAGTTATCAACAAAGTAGTATTTTAACTAATTGTTAGATTAATTTTTTGAATTTTTAATTTAATTTTCTGGGAAAAATCTCTGTCTTTATACACGTTCAGCAATTTGTTATACATGTCACACAATTACGTAAATTGTATTATTTTCTTGTTCCAATTAATTTTCATTGAAATTAATCATTTAAAATGTTTAAAAAAAAATTATATATTGATGTCATTAAAAAATGACCAATAATTGTATTTTTTCATTTTTTTTTTACGTTTGTATTTTCCAACTGTACCTACTGCCAAACCATATTATCGAATGTTGGTAACATAACATATCGCATCAATAAATCTTGCAGCCTCAAAAGAAAATAGGAGTAGCGATAGGCGACGAAATTCTAGATTTATCCGTCATTTCACATCTGTTCGATGGACCATTATTAAAAAATAATCAAGATGTATTTCGTCGTGATTGTCTCAACGATTTTATGGCCTTGGGAAGACCCAGTTGGATAGAAGCCAGAAGCAAACTTCAAGATTTGCTGTCAACCAGCAATTCTACTTTACAAGAGCCAAATACCCGTTCGAAGTAAAATAAACATGCTTCCACTCTTTCTCAATAAAAATAATAAACCATGTATTTTACAAACTATTCTATCTTATAGAGTATTTGTAAAACAGAATGAAGCAACAATGCATTTACCAGCAAAGATTGGCGACTATACAGATTTTTATTCTTCCATTCATCATGCCACAAATGTAGGCATAATGTTCCGCGGAAAGGAGAATGCTCTGATGCCAAATTGGTAATTAATTAAACAGTTGAAGGAATTAAGAAATATAAATTTGACAGAATCCTAATAGATTTGGTATGTTCATAGGAAATATTTACCGGTTGGTTATCATGGAAGAGCGAGTTCAGTCGTTGTTTCTGGCACTCCGATAAGAAGACCTCGTGGTCAGACACTTCCGGTAGAGGGTGCACCTCCAGCATATGGTCCTTCTAGATTAATGGACTTCGAATTGGAAGTAGCTTTCTTTGTTGGACCTTCTACAAATTTAGGTGACACCGTTCCAGCATCCAAAGCTTATGACTATATTTTTGGAATGGTCACCATGAACGATTGGAGTGGTAATTCTTCTCACAGATCTCCATACAGACAGAGCTAGTAAAAAATAAGAAAGAAGATATGATTAATAAAAATAATTACAGCAAGAGACGTTCAAAAATGGGAGTACGTTCCATTGGGACCTTTTGGTGCGAAAAATTTCGGAACCACCATTTCTCCGTGGGTTGTCACCATGGAGGCTTTAGAGCCTTTCAAAGTGCCTAATGTATCCCAAGATCCAACCCCATTTCCCTATTTACAGCACAGTGAATCTTGTAACTTTGATATTAAATTGGAAATTGATATCAAAAGTAAGATTTATTTAAAAAACTTGTTGTAAAAAGATTACACTGTACTTCTTCCTTTTAATTTCTAGCTCCAAACGGTATCGTTACCACTGTCTGTCGTAGTAATTATAAATTCCAATACTGGACACCCCAACAACAATTAGCCCACCATACAGTAACAGGATGCAATATCAATCCTGGTGACTTAATGGCTTCCGGTACGATAAGTGGCGAGGTGCGTTCCAAATTTTTGTCATTATCGCTCGATTAAATCATCAATGCCCAGGCTATAATAATATAATGTTCCGTTGAATCGATGTATGTTTCAGTCTGATGACTCTTATGGTTCTATGCTCGAGCTCGCTTGGAAAGGCACTCGGCCTATACCGTTAAGAGATGGGACCAGCCGGAAGTTCCTACAAGATGGTGACGAAGTGATTATTCACGGTACGCTCGCTACTTTCATCTAAATAATTTACATCGTGCACGGTTACGAGATTATTGACAGTTCAGTATTGTTTTATAGGTTACTGTGTCGGTGATGGGTATAGAATCGGATTTGGACCGTGTTCGGGAAAATTATTACCTCCCACTACTCAATAATTTTCTTTCCCAATACATTGATGGTGCTTATAATTATAACTTATAAATTTTGTGGGTTGGCTGTCAATTTTCAGCTATTAAAAAAATGTAATGAGAATTATATAAATAGGAAATAAAATGTTGCGTACTATTCATTTAAAGAGTACTGTTTCTTTTATTCATCCCAAGAAAATAAATCCAATCGAAATTATGTCGCGACACAACATACTGCAACGTAGAATAGATTATCGAATCGTGAAATAGTCGTAGTAAATTCGATCAATAAGGAGACCAGTACAGGTGCAGGTGCAACGAGTATCAAGGGAACATGGCTGCTATGCTGTTAAAGTGAGTAAAAACTAATAAAATTCTGTTTGTTTAACGAATTTCATCGATGTATACAAATAAAATACTGCACAATAATTGTTTCCTATGTCTTCTTTTTGCCCAAAGAGCACAGTAACTATCAGTTTATGTTACATACCATAATGAGCATTGAAAGAAGGTCAGAAATTAGATCAATAACGTAGTAATGTGGTATTCTGTCTACTAAACTAGCACAGTACCCTGACGCGATATAATTTCTTTTGCACAATCCATGAAATTATTATTTCCTAAAAAAAAAAAAAAAAAAAAAAAAAAAAACATTTTTAAAGTAATATTCAAATAAATCTTAAAGCGGCTCTGAGTAAGAAAACTTTTTTAGAAGTTTGCACACTTTGGAATCGCTAGATGAACCAACTGCAAAATGGAACGTTCCCTTGAGCGATGGAAATCACGTAATAGAATTCGAACACGGTACAGCAACAGGCCGTCGATTGGTGAGAATAGATGGCAAAGAAACAGTTCACAGAGACTGGATGTTTCATTTAGTTGGGGACGAAATTTTCAGCTTCAACGATAATAAATTCGTAATTAGAATTGACCCAATCCCAGGTAAGCGTGTTTCAAATTAATTACATATTCACATGGAAAGTAAGAGTGCATTGTAGAAAAAAATTTATACAGGTTTAAAATACTCTTACTCGTTGTGGGTGAATGGGAAACCTTATAAGAACTTCGTGCGATCGCAGTCAAAAATCTTGGACAGCTGGTTGGCTAATGTTGGAAATGAAGAATACAGAATAGTCCTAGGTAATTATTTTATCCTTATTTAATCCCAATACTTTATTTAATGGAAAGAAAGTAAATGCAATGAAATTTCTGTTGTAGATAAGCAAACGCAGAACGTTTGGGTAAATGGCGAACAAATCGAGACTGAGGTAAAGAAAAGGAATTATCGTACAATCGAAACAAGTCATAATTGAACATTTCATTCCAGAATGAATTCACCGATGATGGTGCAGAAATCTTATTCTCGGTAGGGGATCTCCCAGCAGCAATTAGAACGTACAGTTCTGGACAGAGGAACATTGGAATAGTGTACTCTTTATACATCGACGAAGTGGAAATTGAGAAAGAGAAATTTCTCAAAGAAAATGAAGAAACATAGCCCAACATATGATGGGCCATTTCTACACTGTGTTCTTGTTGCTTCACCTGCCACGAGAATTTGTTACACTTTGTATATACGTACGACGAATCACCGTGCATTAAAAAAACACTATACGAAATTTGCAATTAAATCTTTGAACATAGCGAGAGAATCTATTTATGCAGTTGTATTCAGGCCACGAAGAAAAAGAAACAAAATTCTACCCCTACGTCCACATCCCTGATTCTTCTTACTTATCGAAACGAATAAAAGAAACAGTCGTAATGTCGCTTCGAGAGAGCATATTCAGTATCGGATCACGAATGATCCACAGAGGCGATGATGATATAAATTTTGATGGTGCATGTCAATCAAATACGTGCCGTGGACCACTTTTAACCTGAACGACTATAGTATTCTCCTAATCTTCGGTTACAGTCCTGACTCTCGATGAGTTGCAAGACATGCAGGATGACCTGTTGCAAAAGATCTGGATGCTGACTCTAGAAAACGACGTGTACGAGCGATACCTGTCCCGACAAGATCCTCAGGGCCTAAAAAGTAAACAGTCCTCTACAATCCTTTATTAATCTCGAACAGTTCTATTGTCCACTAGATAGACAAAATTTACAAACCGATTGAAATTTTTTTTTATTAAGCTATAAAGAATATCTTAGAGAGGGCAAAAATCACACGACGAGTCACAGCACACTTGATACCGAGATCATCGCGTATAAGCTTCCGGGAGAGCATAATGAGTTTCCATGATTTTGGCAAACATAGTATTGCTAGTTCACCCAGTGTGGCTAGCATGCGGACATTAAGTAGATTTGGAACACCAAGTCTCATGACAGTGGGAACTACTAGCGATACTGCCAAGTTAGCATATCATTTGCGTTAGCAGCCAATTCTCAGATTTCACAATTTAAAAGATCGTTGAAACTGCAAAAACCATTACGATTACAATCTTGTCGAAATATTGCTCCATCCTATCAGAATCACAATCGCGCACCGAATGATCATGGCAAGGAAGGAAGTGGAAGAAATGAAAAAGAAACTGGAACAGTTCCGGGTATTCGTGCGAAAGAACACAACAATCATGCGAGCGGAGATCGAGGAAATCGAAATTCGTATCAGCGAGGTGCACGAGTCGAGGGAAGAGTTCGAGTCGGAAGTGGTTACAGAAGGCGTGGACCCAATCACAGGCAAGATTCTTGCTGAACGAGTGATGAGGTGATTACACATGTAATACCGTGTTGTGAATGCATTTTTCACGCGCGAGTTCTCGCGAAGATTCATTGAAGAATGGCTGAGATCGGCGAATACGATACTACAGCGACTGAGATTGAAGAGCGCCACGACGAGGATGCACATCAGAAAGGCTAGACAGCAGCTTGCTCAAAGGAAGGAACTAGGCGAGTTACTTCGTGCCGTTGACTTCGAGAAATTGAAAATCGAGAATCAGGATTACGCAAAGTTGCTCGAGGAGAAGAATCTGTATGTGATCGATATGAAAAGGATCGCAGGTGATCAATCTTGAGCGTAAGATCTTGTATGAGATTGGGTCTGTTCATTGTATTCGTAACAGGGTACTATCATCTGAAACTAACGCAACACAAGCAGAAACTGGAGGATCTGTTACGTAAATTGAACGAGGTGAAGAAGGAAATTGTATCGAAGCAGGATCAGATTGAGGAGTTAAAAGTCGAGCACAAAATCATCGAGGTTAAAGTGAAACGGTTGAACTTGCAGTTAAATAATTTATTGACTTTCATGGAGAGCCATACTGTAATTATTCCGTCTCTTTAATTGACCAGTCTGTTTGATAAAACAAGTATGATATGAAGTAAGTAAATTTATTTTTTCAGGCACCAGATATTTTAGAATTTGTCGCGACACAAGAAGAATACGCGGCATTAGACAGAACTTATAAATTATTGCAGAGACGTAGAAATACTCAAAGAATAATATATGAAGAATATAAAAAGCAGACTCAAGTCAAAAAGAAATCTCGTATAAACGATGAAGTTTATAATAGTAATTCACGGCATAATTTTATCTAATTTAAGATTCATATTCTAGGCTAAATATAAATTATTTCAGGTTAAAAGTAAAGAAAAGATCGCTCACCAGATCTATCCGACAGTTTTTTAAAATATTCACCTGCTCTTTCCCACCGGTTTGCGCGAGACGCCTAAAATCGTTTCTACTGGACGAACTCAAAAATCTTTGCTAGAAGACGAGGATGCAATTATATCTGTAAAAAAAATTACGACAATCTCGTACCGTCGCTCGTTACGCCACCGGATAATTGGAGTTACGGTGCTTGTTTAGAAGACGAAGCAAGCCTGAAACGATCGTCCACTTTCCATGATACCAGTACTTTCCATAAAAATACAAATTGCTTGGGGGGGAAAAAAAAAAAATTGCAAAATACAGGACGAATCCAGAAATTTCCAATATTAATCTTTAAAATGACGGACGTCAATTTTTATATTTTACAACAGACAGTTTTTTTTTTAATTTCAAAGACAACATGGTTTATTATAAATAATACCAAACACTTGTACGAATACTAAATGATTTCCAAATAAAGCCAAAAGTTCCTGCAATGCAAGAAACGCGTTCGTAAATTTCTTGATGGTGTTACCCTGTTTTGTGAAACGATGATACTGCGCCGATATTGAACTACATTCATGCATTCTTGTAAATGCATTAAGAAATTTGAATCGGGTTGAAGATAGGAGAATTTTGGCGTGTGCCACGGTATGTTGGGTGGTCACGCTTCACGCACCGACGATGCCTGTCCCTTCCTCTTTTCGCCCGTGGAATATCCGTCCCGGAAGACCATGTCTCTCTTTCTGCAGTGATTCAGTTTTGCGACGACAACATCGACGTACCGAATGTTCGATCGACTATCAATTCGTGAACAACGCTTGTCGAAATATTTCCCGCGAACAATTTAAGTAACTTTTTATTAAAAACTTCGAGAGCCTCTTCATCGGACCTGATGGCCTTATTATGTGGGGCGATCATATCGAAAACTGTTGTTTACGATCGAATCGAAAGTTTCTAAGACCAGTGTTCCAGTTATAGAAGGAAGTGAAAAAAATCAGGCTTGTTGTGCGTCGATAAATCAATAAATTTCTTTCCACGTTTACCAATATTGTGTGAAATATAAACAATAGAGACATCAGTAAAATGGCAAGAATAATATGCTCGGTGGTGCATGAAGTACCAATTGGTCAACATCCTGACTTTCTAACTGCATTTTATTTCCCGTGAGGATGAAAAACAATTTCGAGGAATATCAACGATATTCACTATTTATTTGACTCATTTCTAGTTTTATTTCAATGATGACAAAAATGACGACTCTAAGAAAGTTAGCTGGTATACTTATTCTCTGTTCTCTCGTGCAGAGAAGTTTTAACAAATACTTAGAGGTAAGAAAACGTAAGCGTGATTTTAACGTTTTTTTTTATTTCATCGTTGTTTATAAATCACATTAACGGTATTTTGGAGATGATACACTTTGATAGAAGCCTAGTTGACACGGTTGGAGGGAGACTTGCTATTCCCTGGGGAATATTAGGTCAAAGCTTCATTTAAAATTCTAATTAGGTCCTGAATCATATGCTCGCGCTATCTAGGGCACTAGGAATATTCCGTGTAACAATTTTTATGCTTAAAACTACAAAATAGCATTGAAAATTCTATTAAAATTTTTTTTTAATTTTTTTAATGGATTTAGGGTATGAACGTAAATTTAGGGGAAGCTGTACAATTTCTTAGAGAATATGACAGCGAAGCTTCTGCAATGTGTACGAGGGTGATGTCAGCGCAATGGAATTTTGCGACAA